TCATTCTTTTTTTATGGCAGAGTAGTATTCCATTGAGTATATATACCACATTTTCCTTATCTAGTCTTCTATAGATGGACACTTAGGTTGATTCCAACTCTTGATTATTGTAAATAGAGCTGTGGTAAACATGGGAGTGCAGGTACCACTTCAACTTGATGATTTTCATTCCTTTGGGCATATATCTGGAAGTGGGATTGTTGGGTCCTATGGCAGTTCCATCAGTAGTTGTTTGAGGAATCCGCATACTGTTTTCCATAATGGCTGCATCAATATACAGTCCCACCAACAGTGTAGGAGGTTTTCCCTTTCTCCACATCCCTGTGAAATTTGTTATTCTGTCTCTTTGAGAATAGCCAGTCTGACTGGGGTGAGATGATCTCTCGGTGTGGTTTTGATTTGTGTGTCCCTGATGCTGAGTGATGTTGAGCATTTCTTCATGTGTTTGTTGGCCATTTGTATATCTTCATATGAGAAATGTCTATTTAGCTCCTTTGCCCATTTTTTAATTGGGTTACTTGTTTTCTTACTGTTGCATTGTTTGAATTCTTTGTATATTCTGGATATTAATCCCTTGTTGGATGCATAGTTTGCAAATATTTTCTTTTTTTTAATTGGTTATGAATATTCATGAGATACAAAGCTAATTGTCACTTCTCATGCCCAAGATGTGAAGGCCAGATCCTTACTGGCAGCATACTCATTACCACAGATTCCATTTGTACCTCATGTCCCCCACCCTCCCTCTGCAAACTCCCTCCCCTCCCCCTTCCCCCCACTTCACTTTGTATCCCAAGGTATGTTCTCTACCTCTGCAAGTTCAATGCACCACTGTGGTCTTTCTTTCCTTCCTTCTTTCTCTTAGCTCCCACTTATGAGTGAGTACATGTGGTACTTATCCCTATGTGCTTTGCTTGTTTCACTCAATATAAGTTTCTCCAGGCTCATCCATATTGCTGCAAATGGGAGTATTTCATTCTTTTTTGATGGCAGAGTAGTATTTCATTGTGTATATATATCAGAGTTTCCTTATCCAGTCATCCATCAATGGACATTTAGGTTGGTTCCATGTCTTGGCTATTACATTTAATCAAGATTTTTAAAATGCCGTAATTGATTAGTAATGTCAAAACAGAATATAAGAAATACACTCAACAATAAATTATGCTGTACATAATTTGTTAATTCAAAATGTGTTAATTTCAGGATCATACAATATTTCCTAATAGCATCAATATTAGAAAGAAACTATTATACATTTCAAAATAATCATGTTTGTTTATTTGAATGTTTTGGTTCAAAAAAATTTAGCTAATGGGAGCTTATTTGTTTTTAGTTATGTTGCTATTTAACTACCTTTATACCATAGGCCATAATTAATTTTACCTTCAGTTT